TGCCGGTGGTGACTGGTGCTTTTGTGGGCCATCTGTCCGCGTATTGTTTCGCCATCAACGCGAACAATGGGAGAATCGATAGATTTAACAGGGATAGGTTTTCCTTTTGTTCGAATACGGAGATAGAAGACTATTAATAACCATTGCTGTACTTACAATACCTACTATACCAATTAGCTGCCGATGTATCTACTATACGCGCGATAGCTATACACTACGCTAGCGCATTCCAGATTTCTCATTTTCTATGTATAAATGTGTATACGATATTAGTCAAACACGAATCTTAGTTTTGCGCGTGCAATTTTGTTCGATCGAAAATTATTCGACTGAAATTTCAGCTTACGACGTAACGATTTGCCTCGAAAAATAGAATAACGTAAGCAGTCACGATCACAGATGTTTAGTCCGTGGCCGGTCGTTAAAAACAATGCATCATTTCCATAATTATTTTCTAGAAAGTAATTTCCAGTGTCCCTCGAAGAGACAGAAGCGAACGCCAAAAAGCGTTGTCCGTTAGAAATCACCGTCTCGCGATTTCTGTCCACGCTAAAGGGGCGAATTACCCAGAAATTTATTCGGTTTTCACGTGTAAACTCGCGACGCTTCGATATCTATGGCTAAAAGAGAGCGAGAAGCGGAGATAGAAAGCATACGAAAGAGAGAGAGAGGAAAGGAAGAAAGGGGGTGATCAACCCCTGATCCGGTGTAATTCACGGTTTGCCGGTGCATTTATTAACGGAGAGCCAGGCCACGGCGCGGCTTCGTGTCACTCGGGGCGAGGGCTATTTAATGATTTATCGTACACGCGCCAAGATGCGTAAATCCATTGTTTAGCGTGGCATGGTTCGTTCGACTAGGCGTCTTTCGTTGCCCGCGGCCACCCCTTCTTTCCTTCATCTTACAGCTGCCGAATCGACCACGCAGATGTAGACGCAGATGTTTTGCTCTTTTAACCCTGTCACACTCGTTCACCTCTGTTAACTGAACGTCTTCTACCGTTCTTCGAAGACGGTGGTCGTTACGTCGGAATTTTCATAATTTTCTTTTAATGGAGATACGACGATGTCGTTAGAACGAGACTCGAACATGTTGCAGACTGAGAACTGCTTCAATTGTTTCTCGTTAGTCACTCGTATATCCTGTTATTTTATACGTTTTTTATACTCCTACCGCTTTCTTCGAGATTATACGGAGAAGAAATGAAGTTATTATTAAACGAAAATATGGCCTACTACTACGTATTCTTCGTACCGCCTGTTTCTTAGTCAATTTAGTTGTCGCGTTCCGTACATATTAGCATCCTTTGTGTCGCTAGTTGATGCACCCCTACAAGTTGCTAAAAATTCTATAGATTGTTATAGATTATACTGCTGGTTATTTTGTTACGCGTCGGATCATCGCGCGTTGCAGATATCGATTCATCGATCGCTGACATTTACGATAACGCTATAACGTTGATCGTCCTCTTTCGAAGAGCTAAAATCACCGACGCAAGAGAACGAGGTGAAACGAAGCGTTCGATGCTTTGTTCGAGCACACAATTACCCTCTGTTCGTCGCGTTAAATACTACATTGTGTTCGTGATCTCGTAGAGAGGACTCTGTGCCGTCGAGGCATCCTAACCGTTTAACCTTGTACGCGAAGCACGCGTTGAAAAGGGTAAAATTCATCGAGAACATAGTACGTGCATCTAATAAATAGTTGAAGCAGAGGATTAAACCGCGGCGGCAGAAATTTCTTTCTGCTCTCGTGTAACCTTAGACCGGATACGCATGCTTGAAATTCCGACAGCCTTCCTAGTAATATAGAGAGCGAGCAATCCAGCCTAGCCAACCAAGGGAAAATTTCCCGAAGTTCGCTTCCAATACTTTACGTGCCTGGTAAACCGGTCATCTACGTCCTCTATCCGCGCCAATTAAACGTTTTTCATCGTACCTAAGCCTATTCCGCCGTCCACGATCCCTCCTGATGATGCATCGCGTGCACTCGAGATGGTCCTCGACCAGCGAGCCTACAGATTACGCTTCGATGATAATCACCCATTCCTATCGAAGTACCGTTTTATCTAAGGTCAATTCCATACACGCGTGTTTCCTGTACTTTACGACCGCGATATTCGGGGTGTTTTCAACTTTTTAACGGATCGCTAACGAGGATGTGTCAAAGTTAGCGAGATAACCGTCTTAATCGTGCTTATTGTCCGTTCGCGGCAAACTTCTTCCCGACGCGACGGAACGTTGATTTTGCAGATTCGTCACAGACGAGAACAAGTGGCTTGCTCGTAAGAAATCACGGGCCAGAGGAGTACTGACAAAAGCCTTTTTAAATTGTAATGAGCTGCCAAAGAGTGAATTATGTGCCGCCCAAGTGCCATCGAGTCGTCGACGAACCCCATCCTATAAAAGTCTGTGCATGTATGTATATATCTGGCATCCTCGTGCCGCTCAGCCACCCCACGTCATGAATATATTTACATTGATCGGCCGTCTCGGCATTTTTCATTTGACCCGTCGCGTCGTTGCGCCAGCCTCTCTCTTTCTACCCTCGATATACTTTATTTATATCGACGAGACGTGTCTGTCTTCTCGACAGAAAGAGAGGAGATCGCCACGATAGAGTTTTCATCGCTAACGATACTTTCGTCCTTCGGTCATGTCTTTCCCGCGAGTCCCTCGAGTTTTCGAGCAAAAAGTCTGCTTCTCGAGTTCGTCTTCGAATCTTAAAGTTTCCATTCGACCAATCGAACAAGCCGAATACCAAAAAACCTTTTAAAACTAACGTACGCCAACATCATCGAAAGCGTCGAATTATCATTTTTCTTACGCAATCGTTTGACCATGGACGATCATTTTATGGAGAACGTCGGCCATCGAACGATCTCGATCGAGGTGGAGGAAGATGAAATCGCAAGATCTATTTGTCACGGTACATGCCGGTCAAGGCGCGACAAAGCAAACCTCTTAGGCCCCGTTCAGAGAACTTGATATTCTTTCTGGACTATGACTCGGCTGTTTCGTGGCGAACGACAAATCGTCGTGTCTGATCTGTGAAGCAGCGAGCGAAGAGAGGCTCGAACAATTTTTTGCCGGGGCAAACGGAACCGGTCCGTGTCAAGAACAAAAGGGAGCAACGACGAGTCGACTGTTCGGGGATTTCTAATTCCAGTCGGCCATGTCGAAAGAGAAACGACTCCGTTGGCGTTTTCGAGACCGATTCCGAGCAATTACAGGGATCGTCTTTTGTAAGGGCGATTTTGATGAATGGCCTGGCTCGATTCGTGTCGACAGACCGAGTCGTCCGACTAAAATGCTGCTGGATTGCTTCGAAATCGGGCTACGGAACGATCGGAGCGACCAATCTTCTGTATTTTCACCATCTACATACCTGTCGTCTTTCGCGGTAATTCCACGATTTTTGCGTAGTTGCTCGTATTCTCAAATTCGCTATCAATTTTTTTAATCAACCACATAGCTTATGTCGATTAACGATAGAATCAAGAATTTTCCTACGTAAACGTTTACGCCTTTCTTAAAATAACATTTACATGCAATTAGTAATTCGAATAATTCACACTTTTAATCTTTGCTTGTAATCGTGGAGAAAATTTCAAATGGATCGTTTCGATTTCATTCGCGAGTAACGTGTGTGGTCCGCGGATGACGAACTAAAACGGCTTCGTGTTTACGTTTCAGGTCGCGTGAATTGGGTCAACTTCGTTGGATTGCTCTATCTTCGACAGATGGAAGTATTCATATACGCGTAGTTTTAACTTCAAGAAAATGAAAATGTGTTTCGTCGTTACGTAATGCCTTTAAATCGAATCGTTAATAATACTCGGAATTTTCTTTCCTTCTTCGACTTTCGATTATTTAACAAAACAGAAATAATACAATAAAATCTGTTTTCTTATCTCTTTGCTCGAACATTTTTCATCGAACAAACGGTTTTCACGCGACACGAAAGAAGAAGAAGAAGAAGAAGAAGAAGAGGCTATCTAGAGGAAAATGCAACTGCGCTCCCACGGGACGTAGTCGAAGCCCGAAATTGATATGTATTCCGTGCCATAGCGCGTCCAATCTATCGCGGGTCAAGCAGCCGGAATTTTAAGCACGATACATCGTACATCCCGATCCCTCTACGGATGTCGATAGAAGGGTGTTTTGTACGAGTAACATAAGGGGTGTCTTGGTCAACTTAAAGTCGATCGAAATAAAAATTGGTCGCCAAAACTCAAATTGAAATTCCATTTTATACGTTATATATTGCGATCGAATAATAATGGGAATAAGAAGCGTTGATCGGCCAATACCAAAGCCGTTTGTCCGTTCTCGCACCGCAGAAAAAAAACTAAGATAAATCCCAATTTAACGTTATTCAATTTCCATACATTCGATTCTTTAAAGGAACGTTTGGACGTTTGGATAGATTGAAATGATTGAGAATGAAAAGTTTTCGAAATAAAATCGAAATTTCACACCCTGTATATTTGTTGAAAACTTTGCAACAACGCGATCAGCGGTTCGATAGATAGGGAAGCTTACGAGGACATAAAGTGCCCTCGTATATATTGCCGATACGTATGCATACACGCGCGTGTGCCCACGAAACGAATCGCGTGCGCGGACATAGAGAAGGGTGGAGCGAAGGTACGGCACTGGTCATCCTTGGAAAATTGAATTTCGTCCCAGAGGGCCGCTCGGATGAAGTATGCTGACAGTTGGAAAATTTGCGTTTAACCGTGTGCACGCGACCCCACGAACCACCGGAGAAAATCTTCGACAAGGATTCTTGAATCGAGAATAATTTAGCACGCGTTCGACTTTTTTACTAGGCTTTAGACTCTCCATCTTGATAAGAGATTTTTCGAATTTTTCGAATTATTCGATAAGCAACGGTTTTTAATAATATTAAAACGAGACTTGCGCGGACCGTTTACTTATCCGTTTGTGGTTGAAATTTCGAATAATCGTGAACGTATAGTAAAAGAAGACACTCACCGTGAAGCACCCAACCATGATGACACCTGTCGCAGTATCGGATGTGCCGCTTTCCAGGAGTGAACGAGTCGCAGGAACATCCGTTTACGGTGCATCTTATGGACTGTAATCGAACGAAAATCGGCTATCTTATTTTCATAATTATTCGATATTATCAATAAAAGATAATACTAGAAATTTGTCTATTTCTATTTTCTAGTCCAATTTCTATTAATATCTATTAATTCGATCTGCAAAGATTCCACATAATTTTGAAGGAAAGTAACCATGATGAAGATGACGTTAGATGGTAAAAGGGCGTACATTTAATAAATATCGGAAGTTTGCCTTAGTGCAGATCCGTGTCGGTTACCGGGAAACTTTAACGGAAGATGAAAGAGAAGAAATCGGTAGGTTTCTTCTTTTTCTTTTCTTTTTCATTCATCCTCCGTACTTGTTTCGGTTGCAACGAAGCAACGGCTGGCCAAGCGTGGCTGCAGCTAACTCTGCCACGAAGGAAAATAAACTTTTCTGCCGCGAACATAAAGTAATACCCGATCCAGGCGGTTGCCTCCTTTCAGCCGGGGGCACAGGATTGGATGGTGGCTCCCAAGGGGTTAATTTCCCGCCGAAGGGCGGAAAATATTCACGGCTCCTTAAAATCCGACGAGCTTCGTCTCTTTCGCGAACTTTCTCTGGGGTGGCGTTATGCCAAACGGTCACTCAAAATACCACACCTCCTTTCCTTTTTTCTATTCTTTACTTCGCCCGTGGCAACGATCCTTTAATCCCCGCCAAACTGTTCGAGATATTTTGTGACGGTGAAAAAATCGGAATTTCTTTAAACTTTAAACGAATATCAAGTTGTCGCTCTCTCGAGACAATATCGTTAAGTAAAGGCAAATGGAACATCGATAGATATAATTATCGAATCTTTTGCAAATAGAAGATAATAGAAAATATTGTAGAATCGCGATCCCCGTTTAAGGGGTTCGCACGATTCTTGCCACCCTTTCTAAAGCATCAACGCCTGGAAAATGGAGAGTAGAAATTACGTATCGGTGTGTCGCGTCGCGGTGAAAAAGCAACGAGGGTGAAACTCGTCGCTGTTACGGCGTTATAGCGGCGTGTGCCGTTAATATAAAGACAAATGAAGCGACGCGCGAGTCGCCTTCGTCGGCCATGTGTCTTTATAGAGACAACATCCCAGTGCCACCATGGAACAACGTTCGCGGGAAATCTTCTGTCACGAGTAAGCGTAAGCCCGTACACCGGCTTGCCCGACAAAATCTTCGCGGTCGACGAGTTTTATTAGCTTCGCAGCGGGTTATTTATTCGGAACGGCGACAGATTATATGGCGATATTAGCGGTCGTTTGCCAAGCCGGAAGGGAGACCAGGCTCGCATAAAACAAAATCCCTGTCAGGTTTTTTATATTTCACCACCCTGACTCTTTGGAATTACCTCCGCCACTTAATTCGCTCCGTTTTCTGATCAAAACCGCGGTCGGCCTCTGCTTCCGTACGAGCAGTTCGATAATTAATCGAATACGTCTACGCTCGATTAATCTGCAATTGTTTTATGCGGTAGCTCGTACGTTTATTTCCATCCTATTCGATGATGTACAACGTCGATATATGTATATTTGTCGAAATAATTTTGACGAAATAGTCTTTCTTTTGTTCGGTAAATTGGGATTCTTCCGAGTTACGCCGAGATTAACGTTCGTCATTGAACGATCCGAAAGTCGTTGGCGCGTTCGCGAAAGAATATTTTTATCTAACTCGAAAGACCACCTTCGAGCTTTAATCACGAATTACATCGTATATCGGCTTTTTTCTTTTACCACGAGGACACATTTGTCCCTCGTTTCTTTGCATATCCTTTAGGGTTCTCGTGCACTGTCTTCCGCTATCGGGGTGCACGGAAGGCAATAACGTTTTTACGAGCCACGAAACATTTATTGCTGGCTCTCCGCCGCGTCGTGGCGTTTTATCATCTCGTTCCTTCGCTTAATACTCCCCGTTTAAGGGCGCCACGAGTAGCTTCTGTATATTTTTCGCGGTTGTATATCTTCCGATTACACCGGCAACGACGAGTTCATCAATTTACCGTTTCGTAAAAAATCCAAAAATAATCATACTCGAACCAGTTGATTAATCGATTCGTTTCGCGAACTAATGAAACACGTTCGGTTATCCGCGCTCGTGTTACTGTTCGATCGAATGATCATTAGAGAAGGATATAACGAGGAAGGAAGAATAGAATCGATAGAGGAAGCTGCGAGATTTGCTTCATCGAATTTGAAACATACGAAATTTCCAGGAAAATATATGTATTTTCGTTAATTGTATCGCGAGTTAGAGTTGTAAGACTTTGAATAATCTAGATAACGACGTTATCAACGCAGGAATAAAATTTGTCGAACGTTTCTGAAACTCGTTCGTTTGACATTTGCATTCTTCGAGCGGTTAATAAAGCACAGTTTACGAAGCTCGTCGAACGAAGGGTGGCGATCGATCACGATCAACGACAGGCGGAATCGATCGCTGAGAGGGCTGTTTCGACACTGGCGGCTGCAGTTAATGTTTCCAAACAAAAAAGAAGTTCAGCCACTAATTTCACTGGCCGTTTCAGCGTTTTTTTTTCTGTTTTTCTTTTTTTCTTTTTTTTCTTTTTTTCGTCGTCGCGACACAATGAAAGCTGCGTGTAACGCCACGTGGCTGAAAAGCGGACAATATTCGCACCTTGCGTCTTCTTAATTGGACGCGTACACATCCAAGTTTCCATCGAATGCCACGGGAGAATGCGTTTATCAACAAAATCACTTTTAGCGTGAAATATTTCGTCGAAATTTCGTGAAATCGCCGATCGAAATATTTCTTCGAAGAAAAAGTAAAAAATGATGCCCCACTGATTTAGTGTTCTCTCGTCGTGCGCGATCAAATAAAGAGAAGAAACGTCTAAATTTCGTGTCGCGATATTTCGACAAGAAAATCGGACATGCACCGTGTACAGTAGCTGGATGTAATCCGAACGAATAACAAGCGTACGTATGGCCAGATAACAATGGATATTACAACATATCAGAGAACAATAATTAATCGCGCGCATATGGATTACACGAACAACGCAACCGTATATTTCCTATCAATAGTACCGACGATTGTGGCAGCAACGATGATCATCATTATAATCCAAGTGGCAGCACAGTCCCGCACAATATACCAGCGCATTGTTAAATATATCAATGGGAAGTACGGATTTTATTTGTAACTGGTTAACGATGCAAACCAATTTTGTTGTGAAACGCGTACGTTTGTCAACGTTTGTTTCTTCGAATTTAATTAGGTTAGTTTAAATTAGTTTACTTACTACCCGTGTCGAATTTTCAACTCGCAACGAAATTAATTTTCTCCCCCTCTCTCTTTCTCTCTCTCTTTCTCGATAAAACTCGATACTCGATGGATTGTCGTAAGCGAGGAAACGTTGGCGATTCGATTTTCGGTAGGAAAATCGCCTGTTTGGCGGTATTCGTCTCGATCCTCGGATCGCGTAGACGACGGAATCGGATGAACGCAGCGGCAGTTTAGTCCGCGAGGAAAAGGATAGATCCGGACTGGCAGAGAGTAACGCGAAGGTTCGTACAGGGCGCGAAAGGGAAACGAATGGATTCGATCAGCGAAGCACGGCAGGCCAGCTTAAATCCTCGAACTCATTAATGGGCTTCAGAGTCGAGGTACGAACGTTAGCCAGCTTTATACTTGAGCTTTAATTCGCGCTCTGGTCAAATTAATTTGCAACGATGAACGAGATAGTTGGTGCACTCTAGCCGCCTGTGTTCACGTTGCGTTTCAAAGCGGCCAGATTAGCCCCCGTTCATTAAACACGAACCTACGCCATACATATACATCTGGTTGGTCGGATTTGGCATCGGTGCAAACGCGCATACCGCATCCACGTGATCGTCCTCTAGTGCCGTCGAGGTTTCCTACTTTCCCGTTCCATCTGATCGGTCTGTTTCTCTTTCGCCGATGGTGTTGAAATCAACGAGGAGATCGCTACCGATTCAATGAACGTTAACGTCGAATTTTAGATAGATCAAGCTCGAGTGTTCGAGTTTGCCTTGAAAGTAGTCGGTTCTCCGTTATTCGTTGGAAAATACCGTGTTTGTCGGCTGACGTTGTTATTCGACTCGGCAAAAGGATTTGATCAGAAAGAGTGATGGTAGCTAGCTTGGGAAATTGGACTGTATATGTACGCGTGGCGAGTACCCATCGAGTTTTCGGTTTCGAGTTTAGCTTACGCGGCCTCGAGTATTTGCTGCAACGTTTCAAGTGCGAAACGCTTCGATCACCGTTCATTTTTACTTTTTACGGATACCTTTGAAACTACGAGAGCAGGAAATTGCCTCGCGATTTGTTCCTGGATTAAGTTTCGTTCTCGCGATTAGATGATTGCCAATTGTGCAGTAGCGAGTGTTCAAAAGGGACCTGCGTCGACGTATTAGATTTTTCAAACATCCCCTATATCCGTAGCTCGTAATCGCTTTCCTACACTTCCATTTACCGTACCATTCAAATTATTCGTGTATTGTCGAGGAATAAAACTATTTTTCGGAATTCCGCTTTGCTTATAATATATAAATACTTGGGTATCTTGTCGCATCGCGAATTCGTTATTTCCATGGTACAACTCGGCGCGTTAGCGAGTATAATTTCCGTTCTTCGTGCAAATGGAAGAAAAAGAAAGGTGCTCTCGATGGAAGGCGATGCCTCGAAATGGATTAAAGTGTCACGTGTCGCGTGTAACGGCAGCGTATCGCGAACGATTCTTGTCTCGAAGGGGTTACTAACATCCATCGACCATTACGCTATTATAGTTGGTTTTCGTCGAACGATCGTCGAGGTGTGGCCGTCAGAATGAAAAGCGGAATGGAGCGAAACAGAGTCGACGCTGCAACGACGCCAGTCGAGAAAATGGCGATCGATTACTCGGCGACGGCGACTCAATCGGAAATTGCCGATGTATAGACACGATAGACGAATACTCGCTTTATTAAAACGTTTAGTCATTTATTTTCTCACCGCCCTCTCTACGATCTTTGCCATCGGCAGTTACGCT